GGAGGGGGTGTGTGGGGAGTGGGAGCCTGGGAGGGGGTGTGTGGGGAATGGGAGCCTGGGAGGGGGTGTGTGGGGAGTGGGAGTTTGGGGAACTTCCATTTTAGAAAGGCCTCACTGAGAAGCTAACACGTGACCTAACTGCTGCGTGGGGAAGCAGGCCTGGAGAAGAGGGGTACCAAGGGGGAGAAGCAGCCGGAGCCAGCATGCCTGGGAAGCAGGAGAGGCCAAGAGGTGGGGAACTCCAGGCCATGGGAAACCTGGAGGAGCAGGGAATGCTCCTGGCACTTGTGGACCCTTGTGTCTCTGAGGCCTCACCTGGATGAGGGCCCACTCCTCAGTCTTACCTCTTCTCCTCTTTGGCCTGGCATTCCTGGAGGACCAGGCAGGCCAGGACTCCCAGGACAGCCAGGTTCTCCCTCACTGTGGTCTCCCTGGGAGGCGGGGATGGACACAGTGAGCATATGAATTTGAGGAAGGGAATGGGCAGGGCAGGAGGGGTGGATGAAGGGAAGCAAGGATCTACCCACCCTGGCCTCCTCAGCTCTTGGGCGATCCCTCTCTATGAAGCACTGTGGTGGACAAGAGAGGCTCTGTTAGGTAAGGCTGGTCAGGAGGCCTCTGGCATGCATACGATACCACACCAGGCTTGCCAGCTCTCCCGGCCCGGTCTCTACCAGATGGAGATGGCAGGACCTACACCAGGCAGCCCTCCTACACCAGGGAGCCCTCCTGTACCAGCCTGCCTCTGCCCAGTTCCTACCCTGGCACAGTTGTCGAAACCTGGCACGCCAGGGATGCCCTGGTCCCCCTTTTCTCCTTTCTCCAGAAGGAAGGCTGGATGAGCCGTCTGGCCCTGGGCACAGTCACCACAGATGCTCTGATGGGGAAAACGGGAAAGACAGAAGGACCCAGGTCAGAGATGAGCAGGAAAAGCCTCCTAGGGGATACCCTCACAGAATGCAGGGCCTGGGCATCCTGCCTAGCAGTCCTTCACCCTCACCCTCTCCCTCCCCAGCCACATCCCTGCAGCAGCTTCGCTCTGTCCTCAGGGGACCCGATCATAGCAATTGGATCCGAGTCTCCTCCAGGAAGAGGCTCAGGTAGGGCCAAGCCAGAGCGCTTTCCAGACAGGCGTGTGGGAGGAGGCGGAGGGACCCGCAGAGGGACCATCTGTCCCGCCTGTTTCTGCAACCTGCACCCGTGGTGAGGACAAGCCCCAAGGATCCAGGATGAAAAGGCTAGCTCCCAGTGCCAGCACCTCTGCCTGGGGATGCCAGGAGGCAGTCGCAGGAGGAGCAGGCCCTCTATGGACGCTCCTGGGGTGGGCCTGTAGCTCACCAACCGTCACAGGCTCCACAGGTCCCTGGGCCTGAACTGTCCTTATTGGTAAGGTCTCCTCTGGATCAGTCTCTGCCCTTGTCTGGTCAGATTCTCTGAGGGACTGATGGAAGCTATTCGTCTTCTCCATCAAAACAAGTAAAGCTAGTCTCTTGTTCTAGGGCCATTGGGAGCCTGGAGCTTCCCTGTCACAGGCGCGGTGCTGGGACCTAAGGCAGGAGCCCCATGCTTACTTTCACTATTCCTGGCAACATCAATACTAATGGCCATGTCCACAGCACCCATAAGGCCACAGTTAGAATGGGCCATGGTACATTCAGTCCCCAGGGCACAGTGAGGCCACTTGTGTCATGAGCACTGTAGAGATAAGAAAGCTGATATTCGAAAGAGGCGATGTGATTTGTCCCGGTTAGCCTGGATTGGTCCCTGCCTGTCTATCTAGAGTCAGTGCTTTCTTTGGGCCGCCGACATGGTGAGCAGTGTCTCTCGGCAGGCTGAGTTCAGTTCCTGTGTCAGATCTTTTGCAGAGCCCTTGATTACAAAGCCAACATGTGAGATGTCAGAGGTCTGATCCATCTGGGGTTGGAGTCACACCATCACTGCCTGGAGGGCAGGAGCTGGGGGACTCAGGCTCCCCTGAGACCAGGAGAGAAGAGCAGCAGGAGATGGGGTGGGGATGGGGGTGTCTCCTTGCTACAACCTCACTGTGCTGCAGCTCAGGACTGCTGCTAGATCAACTCAACCACCTCCACCAGCTGCTTCTGGAAACATCCATGGTTCAAAGAGGGGCCAGGGCAGATAGTCCTTATACTGTGCCCTGACCAAAGCTCACGGGGGTGGCATACTCACGACACTGACTAGCCTGTGCCCGAGAGAGTAGCTAGAGGAGGGGAAGGGTATCCTGAGGGCACTGCGCTCCTTCAGATCGGTCCAGGAGCTTGAAGTCAGCCTGCAGGAATGACTAAGCAAGGGTTGAGGAGGCTGAAGGAAGCTTGTGGCTCCTGAGAGCTTGGTCAGCCAGATCAGACCACAGCCCTTTGGCAGGACTGCTGGCCAACTCTCCTCCACAGCTGCTTTTTTTTTTAAAGCCCCCCCCTTGCTGAAGTCCTCTCAAACCTAACACCCACCCACCCCCATACCATTTCACCGTCACGCTCTTCAGGATGCCCTGGAGGCTTTGCGGGCCTGCCTTGGCATGATCCAGGTGCTATGGTGCTTCTTTGCCAGCCAATGCAAGCTGACTTCAGGCTGGGTTCTGTCACCAGGAGCGCACCAGGTGGGGACATTTGCAACCTTCTTTTAAGCATTCATTCAGTAAATGTTGCCTAGAGGGTTGTTATAAGTCAGAGGTCCAGCCAGGCCCTCTTAGCGGCTTAGAAGGCCCTTCCCCCACAGTGGGGAACCGATAGGCTCAACCTGCTGCTGTTAGGTGGCAGGCAACTGAGCACCTGCTGTGAGAATCCCTCTTGGTGAAGGCTGCCAGCCGCCTCTCTGTGCCCTCTTACCTTGAGGAGGTGCTGCTCAATGGGTAAGGATCCCTGTAAGAGACAGACACAGGTTCTAGCTGTTCGGGAGGGGAAACTTATACAGCCTGGAGGAGCAGAGCTAATGGGGTTGCATGGCCAGCTCATTCCCAGGAAGGACAGGAAGGACGATGGTCAGTGGGTCCTAGCTGATACCCACCAGCTCGGCAGTGAGCCCAGGCTGTCCTGGCAAACCATTGTGTCCAGGCACTCCCTGAGGCAAAAAAGAAACAAGAGATCAGACTCTCCTCCCCGCCTAGTGCTCTCCTTGCTAGGGCTCACAGCCCTGCCACCTGTCACCGGCTCTTGCATGGGTGGCAGCTCTGGCTAGTCTCATCCTCAAGCTCTCCCACAGTTGGGGGCTGTGGGAGCCAAAGAGGCACAGAGGAGTGAGCCTCAAAAGTAGTTCCACTGGGAGCATTTCCTGGCGCAGCAGGTCAGAAGCTGGGCGGCTATGGGGTGGCTGCTATGGGCTATCCTGAGTCACTTTCCCATACTTTCTCATTAATCACCATCCCGGAGGCTACAAGCATTTTGTCACCGTCCTAGAAACGAAGGGACTCAGAGAAGGTCACAGGTTGAGTGAGACAGATGAGAGGTTGAGAGAGGACCACTGGCTTCTTCCTTCATCCACTGAGTGTGCCCCATCCTTTGACAGATGTCCCTACAGTACTGCGTGCTTGCCAATCGGGCTGTCGAGGTGCAAATCCTCACCACCCAAGTAATTTTTGGGAGAGTTTAAGTCCAACTCTGTGCCTCAGTTTCCCTCTGTAAAACAGTCATCCTGTATAGATAGCTTCCAGGAGGTCATGCTGAGAGATTCACCACAGACCCCGGATGTAGGATGTACCAGGATGCTCCTGTTAAGCGTTTGCCTCTAGCTTCCTTGCAGGTTCACAACGCACATTTGCATATTAAACACTCTGCTGAAGAAGGGAGGGTGTTCCATTTTGAATCCCCAGCACCCCACGAGGAGGAGGTGCACATTAAAAATGTGTTGAGTGAACGCATCGCTGCACAGCCTGCTCTTCCCAGTACAGGATTTCCTGGGCCTGCTCTGAGACCTGCCCCTGAGCAGCCCCTTTTCTAACCATAGCAGGTACTCCCGCTGCTGGGTCACCACCCAGCCCCCTCTAGTACCCGCTAGTGCCCACAGGTCTAGAAGAACAGTACCAACACGTGGGTCATGCTTTGACTATTTTGTTTAGATAACTGGTCTCATGCAGCCCGGGATGGCCTTCCACTCACTATGTTGCTGATGATGAACAAGAACTTCTGACTCCACTGCCTCTACTGCCTGAGGGCTGGGATTATAGACATGTGCCACCTCACTCAATTTATGGGGTGTTGGGGATCCAACCCAGGGTTTCTTGTATGCTAGACAAGCGCCCTACCAACTGAGCCACACCCCTGCCGTTACTACACTGCTCCACTCTCTGGAGCTAACATCTGCGGTTAGTTCAAGCCTGAGAATGTGATTCTTTCTTAGCCTGATAGAATTACATATCCATGTTCTCCTGTTCAAGTAGGGGATACAGCTGACTTTGACTACTACCTGCCAGTTATTAAAGATCTTGGGCACATTTCTTAGCCTCTGTGTCTCAGGCACCTCATCTGGAAAACAGATCAGGATGAATCCCATATGAAGGCACTGGGACGATGCAGCCTTGAGCAAGTAAGTGGCCTCCATCTCTGACCCCGCCCCCCTGTACAGAGAAGCCTGGCACAGGGCAGGTGCCTGTTTGTGGCAGCCCCGGGTTGGTCGCGGGCACTGGCATCAGATCCGATTCTGGGTCCCGGGATTACACTCAGCGCTTTTTCCTGCCCTTGTTCCCCCAGTGTGGCTTGGCCCAGTTCACACTATGCCAGCTCTCCCTGGTTAATCGGTCACTTTGAAATGACTCAGCCTCCCCAAGCAAACCCCATGCCCCCTGCTGACAGATTACTGACTGCTGCTGGCACTGCACAGGAAGCTTGGACACTTTCATCCAGTGCAGAAACTGCCAAGTGTGTGGTATGGGGTCTGGTTCCTGGGGAGTGACCCCTCCCCTCCTCCCAAGACTGTCCTGAAATGCAGAGGAAGGAGGAGGAGTGCTCTGCTAGGGAAAGCCCTGCACTTTAATACCTGGCTGAGTGATCCAGACAAGACACCTCACCTCTCAGAGCTTAAGCTGTCCGAGTTGTGACGTAGGTCCCTGCATGAAACACTGTGGGGAGAGCTAAGCCTCCAGGGCATTTATGGTGTGTCAATAAAGATCTCACACACACTGCACATACAAGCTTATTTATACCCACAAGAAGCCCACTGAGGCAGGTGCTATAATGATCTGTATTTCAGAGGTAAAGGTATGGAGACTCCACGAGGTTAAGTAACGTGCCCAGCGTCACAGAGCACATGGCAGAAAGGAGACTCAAACTGAGGCTGCCCAGCTCTGAGGACAGAAGTGTGACACAGATCTCGGCTCCTCCTGACGTTTTTTCCTTACTATCTCTGGCCTCTGTGCTATTTCCTGAGGACGTACATCAAGGACATTCTCACTTCTAGGCCTTTGCACCTGCTGCTTTCCCAGTGGAGTGTTCCTCCTTGGGGGTGCTCCTTCTCAGGGGTGCTCCTCCCCAGAGGTGCTCCTCCCCAGAAGTGTTTTCTCCTCAACAGGTTCACTTGCATTTCTTTTACATCTTGATTCAAATATCACCTTTTATTTTATTTGCATGTGTGTACATATTCATGTGTATGTGCCCACGTGTGTGCAAGTCATGTGCATGTATGTGCATGCATGTGCATGTTGAGGCCAGATGTATACTGTCTCCCTCAGTTGCCCTCCACCTTATTTTAATTTAATGTGCATGTGCATGTATGTGCTTGTGTGTGTATATGGGCATGAGTGAGTGTGTACATGTGTGCTGTGTGTGTGAGTGTATGCCTCCATGTGTGTGTGTGTGTGTGTGCGTGCATGCAGACACAATGCCACAGCAAGCGTGTAGAGGTCAGAGGACAGCCGAGGATGTCCTTCTCTCCTTCTACCTTGTAGAGTCTGGGGATGGGAGTCAGGTCAGCAGGCCTGCATCCAAGCGCCTTTATTGGTGGACCGAGCTCACCAGCTTTCCACCTTAACTTTTGAGACAGAGTTTCTTGTTGAAGCTGGGGCTTACCAAATCAGTCAGACTGGCTGGCCAGGAAGCTCCACGCAGGGATCTACCTGTCTCTGCCTCCCCAGCACTGGGAGTACAGGCGCAGGCCATCGTGGCTGGCTTTTAATACGTGTCTGCTAGGGATCTGAGTTCAGGTCTTTTTTTTTTTTTTTTTTTTTTAGGTTTTTTGAGACAGTTTCTCTGTGTAGCCCTGGCTGTCCTGGAACCCACTCTGTAGACCAGGCTGGCCTCGAACTCAGAAATCCGCCTGCCTCTGCCTCCCAAGTGCTGGGATTAAAGACGTGTGCCACCACCGCCCAGCTCTGAATTCAGGTCTTTAGGCTTGTACAGAGAGCACTTTACTGACTAGGCCATCTTCCCTTTTATTCTTTAATATTTTTCACAAATGTCTTTCCCGTTCTCCCACCGTCCATCCCCATACCTCCTTAGTCTGAACCACTATTATTTTATCATCATTATTATTATTATTGCTATTGTCTGTCTCTCTTGCAGGGATATGAATGTTTGCACCACTATATCCTAGCCTCTAAAACCGTACATGGAAAAGATCACACGGGCAGAAATGCATGTCACACCAACACATACTGACTGTTGTTCCAACAGTGCACTCTGAACTAGTATAAAGCTTGGCCTGAGAGCCTGGAGTCCTGCCAGGCCTGGGCTTGGATCCTATTAGTGGGGTTGCCTGGGCTAAAATACAATAGGACATTCTGCAAAATGAGGCTGAGAGTCCACAAGCCGGAGCCAGGGATCTGTGAGCCCCCCACACCATGCCAGGAAGCCACAGCACTAAGAAACCACAGCACACATGTAAGGAGAGGAAACAGTGCCCTTGGGTCCAGCATGGAGGAGCCCCAACAACTGCTTGGTCCCTGCCCTAATCTCCAGACTCTTTCTAGTCTCTAGTCCTTTTACCTGCAGTCCAGGCATTCCGGGGGGACCTGGTGGTCCGGGGACACCTGGGGGACCCTGTGAGAGAGAAGACAAAATCAGAGGGGGGAAGAGAGCTCCCTGCCACCATGGACAGCAGTAGTATCAAGGCAGGAAAGCCGCGACAGGAGGCAAGACAAAGGACACAAGCCACACACACCTGCGGGCCCGGCTGCGAGGAGCTGCCCATCCACAGTCCCGGAGCACCCTGGGTAGGAGTTGGGGTCGCAAAAGAAGGGGAGAGGTTATAGGCAACGTCTACACCAAGCACAGAGCTGCATGGGGGCGGGGCTGGCCGGGACACATAACCTGGCAGGACTCTAGCCCACTGCCACCAGGGTGAGGCGAGGAGCCAGGCCTCTCCCCCAGTGGGGAAGGCAGGAAAAGAAGTTCAGCCCCACTCACCGGCATGCCAGAGAAGATGGGCTCTCCCCGAGAAGGACAGGAACACTCTCCTGGTTCACCCTGGCAAGACAAGAGCCCTGGTTTGAGGTGGCAAAGACAGAAAGGCCTCTGGAAACCTCATCTGGGAGGTGGCATGGGCTTTAGGAACAGAGATGTCAGTCATATCTTCCGGCAACCTACAGGCCTCAGGCTCCTCAGCTGGCGAATGTGGACGATCATAACTTTGACGCCATTGAGCGCCAGGGGACAGGTCGTGTATGGCGTGTAGTGGTCATTTAGTTACGTCACCATCAGCCACTGCCCATGTAATCTCAGTACCCATAGCTCCATCCTGAGCAGCCCCACTCCCCAAGACCCTGGCTGGTGCTGAACCCTCTGTCCCGGTCCCCCATCCCTCTGCCTTGCCTCATCCTCTGACCCAGCTTCCCTGTAAAGGGACCTTGGTGTTCTCTGGTCTCCTGGGATCATAGCTGAATTCTGAATCACCATCATCTACATGAAGTCAGGGTACCCACAGTTCCTGGAATCACGAAGCCTGTGAACAGCAAGGCGACTGCACCCATCCCCTAGCCTGAACAGCTATTATGGGCTACGGGACGGGGATATGGGATGTAGGAACCCATCCCCAAAGAGCGGCAGCCTGGACCCTTGAGACTTACTTTCTCTCCTCGTGATCCTTTTTGGCCCTGCAGAGGAAAAAAAAAAAATACAGAGAGGTGAGTAGGTAGGAGCGGGAAGCAGGGCCAGCCACAGAACCCTGCTGCCTGGGCACTGCACTCAGTGATGTTCCTAGAAGTCCAGTCTGTCCCCTCAGCCCCTCTTGGCCCTAAAGGCAAAGGCCTGAGTCAGCTGGTGAGGCTCAGGGGCAGCTGGGCATTTGGTTACTCAGCCTGCCTAGACAAGAACAATAGCAAACAGAGGCAGTCCCAGGCTCCCTGGTGCCCATATTTCAGAGGCAGGATCCTGGCCAGGAGGTGAGGAGAGGGTGTGCCCCTCCCCCACACCAGGTAGGCAACTACCAGAGAACAGTGAATGGGTCCCCACACCAGTCCCTGCAGGGCGGTGCTATTCTGTTTTGCAAATGATGAAACTGAGGCTTTGAGAAATTTCAGATCACATGAGCAAGCACACAAACCTGGCCCCAGGGATCTGTGGGCCCAGAGTTCCCACTTCCTTCTTTTTTCTCTTTGCACTCAGTCTCCCTATCTCTGTGATCTGAGATGGGAGAATGGAAGCTGTTTTATCAACTCTGAGACACTATTACATGCCTGAAGTCATACAGCTGGTGAGTGTGACAAACAGCTGGTATGACACATAATTAAAGTGCGACACACAGCTGGTGTGATACACGATTAGGGAGTGTGATACACAGTTAAGGACTGTGACATAGCTAGTAAGTGTGACACACAGCTGGTATGACACAATTAGTGAGTGTGACACACAGTTGGTGAGTGTGACACACAGCTGGTACGACACCTAATTAGTGAGTATGACACACAGATAGTGAGTGTGACACACAGATAGTGAGTGTGTGGCAGACCAGGAGGCCTCCTGGGTGGGATATAACGGAGGGGGTCTGTCAATGCTTCTGGCTTCTGAGTAGGAACGAAGTGTGAGCAAACACACAGAAGTGCTGGCCCTGAGAGGCTGCTTTGCTGCAGACATCCCCATGATTGTCTTCCTGGGGGACAGTCCACCTTTACATCCAGGGCTCAAAGCCACCCTGGGACAAATCTCCAACTCCACTTTTACCCTGCGGCTCCCTGAGACAGGCAGGGATTCTGACTCGTTCTGCTGGGCAAAGCAGACCAGTCCATATGGGCTTGGGCAAATCCCTGCCCCCTGTAGGCTTTGGCACAGAACCAGGCAGAATCTACCAACGTTCTCCAAACTCAGACAGCAAGTTCTCTAGGGCTCTACAAAGGACAGGGAGAGGATAGGCTCTCGAGGCTATTTTCAACATTACCAAAAGCTCAGGAAAAATTATACATTTGCCCACGGCCCAGCATGCCATGGGCTGGCTGAAAGGTGGCATTTCTTTGATTCAGGCTAAAATGATCATTTTGTAAAATTCTAGTGGGTTCACGTGGAGTGGAAGCTGACTATTAGACAGGTCTTTGATGACTGAAATGAGAAAATGCACTTATTATTACTTAATCTATGCAATTTGCTCGATAGACGCGTCTGTTAAGCATGGGAGTCATTGTCTTGGGCAGAGCGGAATAAAACGTTGCCATTCCCTTAGACACTCAGTGGATGGTCCCCATGGGCTCCAGGGTTTTACAGTAAGGGATGTGCTTCAAATTCCCAGCTCCACCCTCTACTCTCTGGTCTTTGCTCTCCCTGTGTACGGATATGAAAAATCCCAGCAGCTCCTAGCTCATCCCTGCAACCCCAGCACTTAGGAAGCTAAGAGAGGAGGGTTGTCAAAAGTTCAGTATGAGCCTGGACTACACAGCTGAGTTCCAGGTAAGCCTGGCTTAGTGTGTCAGTCCCTGTCTCTAAAATCAGTAATAATCACCACAAGAGTGCCTTTCTGTATGTTCAGAGCTGACTGAGCACAGGGTCTCAGGGGGCCACTGCTCCAAAAATGGAGATGACCATGTTCTCTTTACTCAGAAGCTAAAAATGTGGGTCTCCAATCAGGTGGAGAGGTGAGGCGCTGACTCCTAGAGGCTGAGGGGAGGGAGAAACCGACAGAGCTGGATAATGGTGGCCAAATTTCTATTAGTTTGGATAAACAATTTTTAGTCTTCTACAGAGCAGGAAGGTGACCCCGTTTACAAACAGCAGAGTGGCTGAGGGTTCTGGACACAAAGAAATGATCAGAAGATGAAAGGCTAATCATGGAGATTGGTTCGGCGCGCCACGAGTGAATGTGCTCTGGTAATACGGATAATTACCACAGCTGACTTTAAAAGCAAAATACTGGGCTGGAGAGGAGGCTCAGCAGTGAAAAGCACTTGTTGCTCTTGCAAAGGACCCAGGTCAGAGTCCCAGCACCTACATGGTAGTTCAGGACCATCTGGAACTGCATATTCACAGGATCTGACGCCTTACTCTGACCTCTGCAGGCACCAGGGATGCATACACAAGCAAAACATTCACACGCATAAAATAAAGATAAAGGGAAATAGTGTGTGCGTGTGTGTGTAGCTCTGTGTGTATCTGTGTATCTGTGTGTGTATCTGTATATGTGTGTACATGTGTGTATTTGTGTGTGTATCTATGTATGTGTGTGGTATCTGTGTGTATCTGTGTTATGTGTGTGCGTGTGTATCTGTGTGTGTATCTGGGTATGTGTGTGTGTATGTATCTGTTCGTGTGTATCTGTGTATGTGTGTGCGTGTGTGTATATGTGGGGGGGTACACATGTATGTGTACGTGCATGTGGAGAGGTCAGAAGTCTGGCTGTCATTCCACAGGAACCATCTACCTTGGCTTATGTTTGTTTAAGAGATGGTCTCTCTTGGGGACCTGGGACTTTCCAGTTAGTCTAGGCTGACTGGCCAGTGAGCCCTAGGAATTGCAGTATTGGGGTTGCAGGCACATGCAGTCACATCTGACCATTGTTGTTATTGGTAGTATAGGTTTTTGAGACAGGAAGTCTCTATGCAGCCCTGGCTGTCCTAGAACTTGCTCTGTAGATCAAGCTAGCCTTAAACTCAGAGACCCACCTGGCTCTGCCCCCTGACTTGTTTGTTTTTGAAACAGGATCTCTCTATCTAGCCCTGGCTGTCCTGAAACAGGTTATGTAGACCAAGCTGGCCATGAACTTGAAGAGCTCACATGAAGAGCTTGAAGAACTGGATAGCTGCCTCTGCCTCCCGAATGATGGGATTGAAGGCGTGCGCCGCCATACTGGCCACATCTGACTTTTTACATGGATGTGGGGATCTGAGAGGCAAACTTGGGGGCCTTACGCTTGTGCAGCAAGCACTTCACCCACTGAGCCAGCTCCCTAGTCCTTGAACACACACACACAGAGAAGGGGGGGGGGAACTTGGTGGAGATATATTTTCATATTATCATTTAAAGGCACTCCCAGTGTGTCTTCCTTCCCTGAGGACAGTCCAGAAGGCCTGTCTCCTCCCACCCCAGGCTGCTGAGACAGGAGCATCAGCTCCATGCCTTCTCCCCGGCAGCAGTGTCATGGGCTCAACAACAGCTCCAGCATAGTCATGTGTAGGAAAGGCTCTTACCGGAGGCCCAGAGACACTGGCACCAGGAGGTCCGATGGGTCCTGTGGCTCCTTTGGGCCCTGGAGGTCCCTGTGGGGAGAGGACAGGTTGCTGAGGCATGATTTGAAGCCATTCGTGATATGTACACAATGGATCTCAGGCGCCCCACTGTCCAGCATCGCTAGCCCTCAGGTCCCCATGCTGCAGCTCCAACCATGGCAGTAGAAGAGGCTCACCTGGGCACCTTTTTCTCCAGTTGAGCCAGGTGGTCCCCGAGGTCCCGGAAGGCCCTGCAGATGGAAGCATATCTGGCAATCTCTTCCGGTAAAATAGCCCCTTGCCCAGTCAGCCACCTCTAAGCTGTAGGAGACCTACCTGAGTGCCAGGCGAACCCTGGGTTCCAGGCTCCCCCTGCAAGTCAGAATGGGCAGTCTGCGGCACAGTGGCCAAAGGCACTGCTCCTTATACCTGTATCACTGGCAGATCTGGGAGGGTGTCTAACCCTCCCCCCCCACCTCAACTCAAGAGAGCTACCCACAAAGATTCAAGGGATAAGGTAATAAGAGCAAAGCCAAATTCTGGCAGAGCATGGTTGCATATGGCTTTCTTTAATCCCAGCACTTAGGAGTCAGAGGCACTGGCAGATCTGGGTGGATTCAAGGGTAGCCTGGTCTACATAGTGAGTTCCAGGATAGACAGGGCTATGTAGAGAGACCCTGTCTCCATTTAAAAAAAAAAAAAAGACCAATATCAGGCCAAGGCTGCTGTGTGACCCCTGGCTACAGAGCTGTGCCCTTAGCATCTAGTGACAGGAATAGCCCCTGGATTGGGAAGCTGGCAGCTATGGAAGTGTTGAAAACAATCAGGAAGGCAAAGGGTAAGGGGAGATACTCACCTGGGGTCCCTCAGCACCTGTGCCTGGAGGTCCAGGCTCTCCCTGAAGAGGTAAAACAACCCCTGGCTGGAAATTCTCAGCCCATCCCCCAGCCTCTTTGAAGCCTTCTCTGGAATCCCTCATTCCAGGCCTTCTGTACCACAGTTCCCATCCCCCTCCTTCTCTTTCTCTTCCTTCTCCTCCTCTTCTTCCTCCTCCTTCTCCTCCTCTTCCTCCTCTTCCTCTTCCTCCTTCTTCTCCTCCTCCTCCTCCTCTTCCTCCTCCTTTTCCTCCTCCTCCTTCTCCTCCTCCTCCTCCTCCTCCTCCTCCTCCTCCTCCTCCTCCTCCTCCTCTTTCTATCCCCAAGAAAAGCACCCCAGGGGGCCTCCATTCCCATACAAACCTGAGTGCCCTTCGGTCCTGGGGGCCCTTGAACTCCCGGTAGACCAGGCTGGCCCTAAAAGGTACAAGGGAACCCATGGATACCCTCAGTGTGTTGGGCAGATAAAAGAAGGCAACACACAGGCAGGGAAGGGTGAGAGGATGAGCCAATAGCACTTACTGGTTTACCCGGCCGACCCACACCTTCAGGACCTGGCTCTCCTTTGGGACCTGGTTTCCCAGGCAGTCCCGATACATCGGTCAACGCCCCCTGCAGGCTAGGGCAGGCAGTGCATCCATCACCCTGGTCAAAGACAGGGGGAGCCTGTGAGCTAGGACTAGTTGCTAGGCTTGTGGGCATTGCAAAGGGGCCCCGATTGTTCTCTGAGAGCCCCACCCCTCTTCTGCCTCTCCTCCACCGAGAAAACAAAATAGATCCCAGATACTCCAAGCTGCAGTAAAGCGCCTGTGGAATCCCGTGCCTGGGCTTCCATGAGGCTCTCTACAGTATCACTCATCAATGCCCCACAACAAACTCCTCTCCCAGGCCTGGCCGACTGACCTTTTCTCCTTTTGGTCCTGCCGGACCCCGAACCCCAGGCTCTCCAGATATTCCAGGCTGCCCTGTGGTGCCTGGCGTTCCAGGGTCTCCTGGATTCCCAGCATCTCCCTGTAAGGAGTCGTGTTTAAGGAGGACAGGTGTCGCCCAGCTGGGGGCAGGGTGCCCCTTGAGACCTATGGGCAGTCACAGTCCCTTCTGGGGCTGGGGGCTAAGAAAGGTGTGGAGATTGGTAACAGCAAGCAAGGAAAGGGGAGTGGTTTGTTTCAGAGAGAGTTGGGTGGTGGGTGGGGGAGTCACATGGAATTGGATGGGTGGGGAGGTGGAGAGAGTCTGGGAGGAGTTGGGGGGGGA